CCTCCACCCCCCACCCACCAGCCCGTCGGCCATTTGACAAGTAACTGAACAAATGTTCCTCCAGGAGATGCAGTAAAATCCAGTGGTTGCACTCCTCCAAAAATTTTATTCTCTTCCCTCAAATCTTGGACTGAGATGTTGAAATCTTGAAATTTCCTTAACTTAAGTCCCATAACTTTCATAAGTCCCCAATTATTCATGAAGAATAAATAATTATTACGGGGTAATTAAATCCGGTAATTGAGTAATTTCATAAGATTTAGGGTAATTTTTATTGAAATTAATAGTTACGTGTGAAATTTCGGGGATAACTTGTTGAGCACAACTGATGAACCTGGGATTCCCCTCTGTAAGTGGAAATATCCGGGGAATCCTAGGCGAGGGGGATTCCCTGGCGGTAACTTGGATAATTAGCGGGAATGGCGCGGTATTCAATGGGTTCCTGTGATGTCTAGGTGTTGTTATGCAAGTGGAGAGTTTCTGTCACTCTTGGAGAACTATCTCCAACTTCACTGGCCCCATCCTCTCAGCTGGTTCCATTGACTTTTGATGTATGGTCAGAGATATCACGAGCTGTCGCCCACTTTAAGGTGCCCCATACTCTCAGTAGTCTCTAGACTCAAGTCTTCCTTGCATCCTAGTCTCCTTTATTTTCTCGTCCCTCTATTCTTTGAGTTCCTGGTCGATTCAACGGCTGCACTGTCCCTGGGTAAAGCAAGTCGAGAGCATTCAGGGATCAGACAATTCCTTTGTGACGAGCAATACATTGTTTATACGGTATTTCAGTAATTAAATTCTTTCGTCTTTCCGTCATGGAATTATCCACTTGAATTACATTTTTTCACTCTATTTTTGTCAACTATTTTATTACTTTACTTCAATATTTACTTCAAGAACTCAGGAATTGCTGAAAGATTTCCGTGGATTTTTTATTCTTAGTCGATAAATTGAGACATTTTTTTAAATACTATCATTGGAGTATATATATTTATATTCACGGTTATTTCCAATATAATATATACATATATAGAATTTCAAAAGAAAATAAAGAAAAAAGTCTAAACATTTATATAAAAAATAATTAAAAATTTCATAAATTTAATAATTTAATTTAATTTATTTTTATAAATTATAATAAATTTATATATTATATTATTTAGTATAATATAATATAAAAATAAAAATATTAAATATTATGATATTAAAAAAAATTAATATA